AGTGATCCTTCCCCGCTACTCACCTCACCAGTGAGACCACCTGTGGAGTGCTGGGTCCAGTTCTGGGCTTCCCAGTACAAGGGAGACATGGACGTACTGGAGTACATCCAGCAAAGGGCTACAAAGAAGATTAAGAGACTGGAGCCTCTGTCCTACCTGGAGAGGCTGGGAGAGCTTGGATTTGTTTAGTGTGGTGAAGAGAAGGCTTAGGGAGGATCTTATCACTGTGATATCTATGAATGATTGGGGGAAACAGAGAAGACAAAGCCTGAGTCTTTTCAGTGATATCTAGTGAGAGGACCAGAGGCGATTGGTACAAACTAAAGTACAGAAGATGCCATGGAAACATAGAACACTGGGCTCAAAGACTGTTGGCCTAACCAGGTAGGTTCTTATATTCTTACACCATCTCATCTGAGTTTCCATTTTATGGCCCATCATGCTCCCTGTTTTCCTAAAATGCCTTGAAATGATTGTTGGCCAGCAGTAGAACTTTCTTCACACCAACCTCTGAGATCAGTTCACTAAGTAGCTTTAAGGAGATGGTGGGGAGGCTGTGTATGCATACGTGTGCAAAGGAGAGGTATGTGAGAGTACGTGACTTCTGTCTTAGCAGGCTTTTATAGCTTCCGTTTCAAGATAGACATGGTCCCTGTGGATGTAAGATACGGGAATATGGGCCAGCACTTAGAGGCGGTGCAGCATATCTACACTTTTGTGGTATAACTCACCACTCACACTAAATGGAGAGACCAGGATGCCACCTAAACAGAGGCATCTGTCCCCTACCAATGTCCCTTCCCCTACGTTGTGTTGACACTAGCAATTATAAAGCTGTGTGGCAAGCTGGCTCAGCTCATTCCTCTGACTGAAAATCCTGTCCCTGGAAGTGACTAGTTTCTGTCTGGATCCCTAAGCTGTCTCAATTTGTTGCTCAACTGCACAATTGCAAGCCCTAACACAAAGCAGGGGGGCAGGAGCATACCGCCTGAAGTGGAAAGGAAGGGGAAGGCCATGAGTCTTGGCAGCCACGCACTCTTAAATTAGCTTAAACCAACCATGAAATCACAATCTTCAGTTGTCTGTCTTTTGTATTCCGTTCACTTGTTCACAGTTGTGTTAACTGTCAGATCTGAGGCTGGCAAGGAATTCTACCCAACATGATACTGTTAGGATTCCTGCAGATTTCTTGTGGTCTTTTCACTGCAGTACAGGACATTATCAGCACACTGAGGTCGTCCGGAGCCCTTTTCAGGAGATTTTGACATTGGTGCATTTGGCTATCTCACATTCTTAGCTGGCTTCAATCTCTTATACTGAAATGTAGTTATGGTTTTTGAGTTTACCTAAAAAGATATTTGGATGAATGATCTGTGAAATACTGGAGGTCAGGATGGATGATATGTTGGTTTCTTCTGTCTATGTAGAACTGTTCAGATGATAAAATTGTAGTATCTTATGGTTAAGTGGAACAGAATTTCAAAATAGTCTCTTTGTAGCAGAAAGACATGACATAAATTATTTCAACTTTTATGTGTAGCACTCTGCTAAGTATTTTGATAGAGTTTGCTTAGGTAAGTTTCTAGGATACTTAAGGTTAATGACAACGCTCTTCGGCTTTGACAAGATGTTTTTGCTTCATCTGAAACTGTGTTGACAAAGATGCAAATGGGGCGTGTGGGAAATGTGCCGTTGTTTTTTGCTGCACATCAGACTTCTTCCCCTTTAATTTTCATATTCCTGAGGTGCAGAAGAAAAAGATGTTTTGTTGTGTTTCCGTGTCTCCCCTCCCCCCCCAATTGTAGGAGATCTGGAGAGGTTAAAGTTTAAGCATGCACATCCCTCAATTCTGCTATAGTAAAGAGAACTCTGTCAGCAGAGTTCAGCA